GGTAGATGCTGTGGGTTGTTTATGGTGTCCTATTTTCTTTTTTTTTTTTTTTTTTTGGACCTTGAGTCTGTAATAAAGATTGATTATTATGAATAGCGGAAGTGGGTTGGGTTTGGAGGGAGGTTCACTGATTGGCTTAAACCGTGTTCAGACTGCAGCCAATAGGAGACTGGTACGCGCTCCTTTAAAAGTATAATCGCAGCTTTGTATTTAATCATTCATTGGTTTCAAGTAGTTTTGAGTTATAATGAGTGGAAGGGGTAAAACCGGTGGAAAGGCCCGCGCTAAAGCCAAGACTCGCTCCTCCAGAGCAGGGCTGCAGTTCCCCGTCGGTCGTGTTCACAGGCTTCTCCGCAAAGGCAACTATGCCGAGCGCGTCGGTGCCGGTGCTCCGGTGTATCTGGCCGCTGTGCTCGAGTATCTCACCGCTTTTTAAAGTAGATTAATTTATTTGAAACCATTTCTAATTTCTTTTCTCTTAAGTTAAGTGTGAAAATACATGTGGTTCCTAAACAAGTAATATGTCACATTGCACTTATCTTCAGCAGTTAAATGTATATCAGTTCACCCCTTATGTTTCTTTAGCCATATCAAGAGCGTATTTTCATAATACACACTTTAAATTAAAAAATGTAATGTGTGTATTATGAAAATACGCTATTGATCTGGCCAAAGAAACATAAGGGGTAAACTGATATATGCATTATTTAATAGTTTGTACGTAGTTACAAATGTCCAACTCCACACATTCAGGAAGGTTTAAAAAAAAAAAACAATCACAGGATTTGACTTACAAATTTAAGACTTATTTCGCTATTCTGCTTTCATATAAGACTAAGAACAGGAATACAGGACATTTTTAGGCGGGAACCACAAACTGTCTTCTCTGGTTTGAAAACATGAGACGCACATTCATTGGTCAACTGTCTTCTAGAGACGCCAGACAATAACCAATCAAATACCTTTGAATCTCTGCCGTCCAATGAGCGCATGGCAGTCTTAGGCTTCAAATAAGCGTTGCGTTTTGTTCACTACTTCATTTTATTCGTACTGTTTGAAGTGTTGCTGTGAGATAATGGCCAGAACCAAGCAAACCGCTCGTAAATCCACCGGAGGCAAAGCCCCGAGGAAGCAGCTGGCGACTAAAGCCGCCCGTAAGAGCGCACCCGCCACCGGTGGCGTTAAGAAACCTCATCGTTACAGGCCCGGTACCGTGGCTTTGAGAGAGATCCGTCGTTATCAGAAGTCCACTGAGCTGCTGATTCGCAAACTACCCTTCCAGCGTCTGGTGAGAGAAATCGCTCAAGATTTCAAGACGGATCTGCGTTTCCAGAGCTCCGCTGTCATGGCGCTGCAGGAGTCCAGCGAGGCTTATTTGGTCGGTCTGTTTGAAGACACCAACCTGTGCGCCATCCACGCCAAGAGGGTCACCATCATGCCCAAAGATATCCAGCTGGCGGAGAGCGCGCTTAAACCCACAGCCGCTTCAGCCGCACAAACCCCGAAGCCTCTTTTAAGAGCCGTCTCAATGTTTCTATGAAAGACGATTTCCATTGAATCATGTGAATTAAGTTCATGTGTGAAGTAATTTCGGTGTGTTTGCTGAGTCTAGACGATTTAAGTTTAATTTCATGTCTGTATACCAAAGCAATTATAATACATATGTAATGCGTATAATGAGAGGAAACTTCACTTCAACGTTAAAAAAACAAGCAGTGTTTTCAACCTACATTCAATACTATACCAGTCTCTGCTTTTATTTATGGAGAAATCCTTGTCTAGGCACTAAGTTGAGACATCCCTGGCGCGTGGAAACGTTCATTAAAGATGTTGAAATGTTTGTTCGGTGCTGCAAACGGAAGTGAATTCGTGTTAAGAAGTGTTTATATGAATTTATTTCAATGTATTTCCGCGTTCAAGCTCGAGAAGGCAGACCTAGATTTAGATCAGGCCTAGCCCTAGAAGATGACGTTTAGTACCGCCCCTGCGTGTGGTTTCAACGAGGTCCTCTAGTCAAGCATAAAAGGTGCGCCAAAAGAGTTTATTAGGTCAGTAAACGCAAGTCCTAATGCATCATTTGTATTATCAACGTGAATGTTAAAATCTCCGACAATTAGCACTTCATCAATTGAACCTTTGGCTGCTTTGCTCCATCAATCTCCTAACTTTAAAGGTATTACACGGCATGGTACAGAGCATAAAATTTCATTATATGCAGACAATGTTTTACTATATGTATCAAGCCCAGCCTCCTCAATACCACAAATGATTTCACTATTACAGGAATTTGGCAATTTCTCTGGTTATAAGCATAATATGATTAAAAGTGAGTTTTTCCCGATTACTTTGACCTGTAGAGACTATTCGTTTATTCCCTTCAGAGTAGTACATGAGGGTTTCAAATACTTGGGTATACAAGTTAGCAGATCATTTAATAATTTGTTCAAGGCCAATTTTTGCCCACTTCTGGATCGATGTAAAAAGATTTTGTGAAATGGTCCTCTTTGCCCTTATCTTTAGCAGGTCGTACTAACTTAATTAAAATGTCTGTTTTACCACGGTTTCTGTATTTATTTCCAAATATACCTATTTTTTATTAGAAAGAATTGTTTTACTAAGCTGGATAGTCTAATTACTTCCTTTCTGTGGGCGAATAAGACCCCTCGCATTAGGAACACTTTTTTACAGAGATTAAAATGTCAAGGAGGGATGGCGTTACCTAATTTTTTATTTTACTATTGGGCAAGTAATATTCAGAAGATAATGTATTGGTTATCTAGTGTAGATCCTCAAAATACCCCTTTGTGGGTGCAATGTGAACAATCCTGTACGAAATTCAAATTTAGCTCCTTAATTTGCTCTTCACTCCCTCTGGTGGGAAAAACTACATCTCCTCCCCTAATCCTGCACTAACTCACACTCTACAAATGTGGGCCCAATTCAGAAGACATTTTGGTTTACAGTCAGCTTCCATTCTAGGACCTATTGCCTCTAATTGTTTATTCCCACCATCTTATGTAGATTCTGCTTATTGTGTTTGGGAGGAGAGGGGGGTAAGGCACCTAAAAGATTTATATTTTGATAATACTTTTTGCTCTTTTGAAGATCTTAGACATTTTTCTTTACATACTGTAGTTCTCACTTTTTCCGATTCTTGCAGATTAGGAGTTTCATCAAGAAGGTTTTTGTCTCCTTTCCTGGAATTCCCCCTGCCTCACCTATCGAGAATATGCTTGTTTTGAACCCACATAACAGGGGACTCATTTCAAACATATACTCTATTATAACATCTATAAATCCACAGAGCCTGGACGATATTCGTAAAGCCTGGCAAAGTGATTTGGGTAGAGAATTCACAGATGAAGAATGGCAAAATGATGTCAACATATTCTGTTACACCAAATACACAAAATAATGATCTTTAAAAAAGCATCATATGACCCCTTTAAATCAGGTACACTCCTCCTCACCTTGTGCGAGGCATGGATTAATACAACATAAGGTTCTTTATAGGCTCAATTTCACTAACGCCAGACTAGCCAAGATTTATCCAAATATCTGCCCCGCCTGTAATAGATGTTCGCAGTCGCCTGCTACAACTGCTCATATGTTCTGGGCGTGTCCAAAGTTGGAGGAGTTTTGGAGGGAGATTTTTGAATCATATAAACATATATATGATATCTGGATTGATCCTGATCCTATGATGAGTATTTTTGGTGTGGTGCCTGAGGGTATAGAACTCAGGAAAGACATTTGTTCTGTTATCGCCTTCACTACTCTACTGGCAAGGCATTTAAAATGATTTCATTGGAAAAGGGCAGACCATCCAACGCATAGTAGCTGGATAAAAGAAGTAATGTTTCACATTCAATTGGAAAAGATTAAATATATGATTCGAGGTTCGAAACGTACGTTTCAAGACGTCTGGTCTCCCTTTCTAAGATATTTTGAACAACTTCCCTCCCTCTAAAATGGAATGATATGCCTGAACCTCCCCTTCTATTCATATGCTCTTTTTATATTTTGTTTTATTTATTATTATTATTATTTACTTAATGTATTTATTTATGCATGTGTATTTTCAATTTCTGTTAAAATTAATAGGTTTAGCTCTTCTATTATGTTTTCTAGACTGGTATTCTTACAGGGTGTACTTTTATTTTTTGATGAGGGTGTGTCCCTTCTGTGAACATTTTTGTTTATTGCCATATACATCATATTTATTAGCCATACATTTCCTTGTTGTTGTCAGACCTTTCATGTTAAATGATAATTTATGGACCGAACAAACATGGGACACCTAATTCCTGCACTGTCAGTTTTGTACTCTGGATTGTGTTTATTTTTTATTGTTATGCCGTTAGAGGGGTGGGGTGATGAATGTAACTGTAAGTGTTAAAACTTAATAAAGAAAATATATATTAAAAAAAAAAAATATATATATATATTGTATCGTATCGGCAATTCGTCCGGACAGATCCAGCGTTTTGGGAGCCTGAAACCGCTATTTTTTAAACTGGGTCCCAGAGTGGATAAATCTGAAAACGACACCCTTCCGTTTTCGTGTGTACAGCCAATCCGTACATTTTGTGAAACTATGTCATCACCCCACGACACTGCTACATCACGTAACAGCAACAACAACAACAATGGCGGACTACATGCTTGTGTTCGTGCTGCAGAAGTCGTCTTTACTGTCATCATATTCTGTCATCCTTTATGTCGTCTTTACTGTCGTCTTGTTCTGTCGTCCTTATGTCTTTACTGTCGTCTTGTTCTGTCTTCCTTATGTCTTTACTGTCATCTAATTCTGTCATCCTTATGTCTTTACTGTCATCTAATTCTGTTGTCCTTATGTCTTTACTGTCATCTAATTCTGTCGTCCTTATGTCATCTTTAATGTCATCCTTTTCTGTCGTCTTCTGTCATCTTTACTACATACTATACATACATAATTTGAGGCACGGCGCGATCATTTGCATTTTTTCTTAATAACAGAAACAACTGAACGCCGTCATTTTTGCTCATAAATGTAGTAGGATGGCCCCTTTAAGAATGGTGCGTGGAGTGCGTGGTGGGTTGGTTCGTCAGGTAATCACGTAATTATATAGACACAGGTGAGAGTTTAGTTTCCTCGTGGCATTGCAATGATGTGGCATGTTTGTGTGGGTCGTGTATCTTCTTCACTCCTTTGGAAAGCTATGTTTTGTCATTTGTAAAGGTTTTTAGACAAAATGGAATTATAAACTTAGAATGTGGGTGTTTGTGGGAAAAAATTAATTTGGATGAACTCATATTTGGATTAATGTGATTGTTGTTTTATGAAATTGTAGATTAGTCGGGTGCGTCCAGGCATTGTTTATGAGTAACGTTATGCTATGTAAGTGTCATGCGCATGAAAGGTAAATTTCCTCTTATCTTGTAAATGTTTGAGGGGAGAAAAGCGGGGAGTGAGAAGAAAGCAGAAGAAAAATGTTTATTTGTTGTTTTACAGAAGTTGTCAGCTGCTGCTTTGCTGTGGCTTATATATCGGTTCCAGTATCGGGACGCTGGATTGTTGCTTGCGCACTGTCGCATTGAATGCCCTCAATTCGCTATTTTCTGTATACCGCTTGCCTTGGAGACGCAAGACCATTGCCTCTTGTTCCGGTGCCACCTGGTGGTCATTTGTGTTAGTATATTCTTGATTTGTGTTGTTCGTCTGTTGTGTCTGTATCTTGGTAACTTGTGTGTGTGCATGCGTGTGTGTATTTGAGCTAGATTGTTTTTTTGTGTTTTTTTGGTTTGTTTATTGTATTATTATTATTTGGCTTCGTTGTAAGTTGATTTGGTTTAGGTGTTTGTTTGAATGTTTGTTATCGGTGTTGGTTATTGTGGTTTGCAATCATATCGCCCTGCAGCCCAAGACTGGTTGCCCACTGAAGCTAAGCAGGGTTGAGCTTGGTCAGTACCTGGATGGGAGACCTCCTGGGAAAACTAGGTTGCTGTTGGAAGAGGTGCTAGTGAGGCCAGCAGGGGGTGCTCACCATGTGGTCTGTGTGGGTCCTAGCGCCCTAGTATAGTGATGGGGACACTATACTCTCAAAAAGCACCGTCCTTCGGATGAGATGTTAAACCGAGGTCCTGACTCTCTGTGGTCATTAAAAATCCCAGGACGTCTTTCGAAAAGAGTAGAGGTGTGACCTCGGCATCCTGGCCAAATTCGACCATTGGCGCACACACACACACACACGATTCTGCAGTTGAAATTATTTTGGAATATTTTAATACACATGCTGTTTTGGTAGCAACTTCTGCAACAACTCCATAACAAAAAACAAAAAACAAAAAAACATACCAGTTTGACAAAAACAGTTTAAAATAAATCATAAATGTTACCTTTATATAGGTCACATAAAGGTCCTTAAAAGGTCTTAAATTTAGTTGTATCATATTAAAGGCCATAAAAAGTCTTAAACGGTACAAGAAAGTCTTAATTATGATTTCCAGAGGTCTTAAATTCGGGGAGGGAAAAACAGGAATTGTGATATGGCTTAATGCAGGGGTGGCAAACTCCGGTCCTGGAGAGCCGCAGCCCTGCAGAGTTCAGCTCCAACCCTAATTAAAACTCACCTGCCTGTAGCTTCCTAGTAACCGTTCAGACCTTGATTAGCTCGTTCAGGTGTGCTTGATTAGGGTTGAAGCAAAACTCTGCAGGGCTGTGGCTCTCCAGGACCGACGTTCTCCACCCCTGGCTTAATGTGAGATTAAACTTCAAAAGGCGATGATTTCATTGAATAAATATGAACGCTGCACATTTCAAATTTGGCTGCTGCGCTGTTTTGTTTACAGTCGG